AAATATGATTTATACATGTACTGATTTTGAAAATTTGAATCTTCACTATACAACGATGCTTCCATCAAACTTAAATCCCTATACAAAAACTTTAATCACTATACATCTAAAGATTTTAATCACTATACATCTAAAGATTTTCAATGTCTCCCATTTCTTTATTATACCTATAACAATTTCGGAAGGTATTGGCAATATTTTGATAAGAAATGAATACTCTTATATGAGGGTACTTATATTCAAGTAGTTGAACTTAGTTCTGTGGTAAAAATTAAAATACTTCAAGAGACTACATATTATGCTCTACTACCGAAAGAGGAGCAAGAAGTGACTAAAGAAATACAGAAATATATTCATAAATATATAAGATCATTGTGTAGACAGAAATTAAATGCATGTGCACAGCTATACATACATCCCAGTTCTGATAATCTCCAATGCTCTCCAGTCTCGCTTTTGTCTGGCCATGTACACCAGTGACATGAAACTGCATAGGATTCTGTGCTCTTCGATTGCTGGAGTAACAAAACTGAATCTGCTTCACTAGCTTCATTATATCCTAAAAAACATGCATGTCTTTTACCAAAGGTAATTTTAATACCACAGCACATGTGAAAATGGAAGAAAAATGTATGATAATATTGTATGAAGCTAGTATGAATCTTTCTAAATAACTTTTTTACTGTCATTATAATCAAATATCAAAAGAAAGAATATGTAAGTTTTGTTTTATATTTTACCTTCTCCCCCATATATCCATCCAAAGAACAATCTATAACTACAGAAGTTTTACAAGAAGATTTAGCCATTGTGTTAGTCCGCAACTTTTTCCTGGTGGGTGCCATGACATCTCCTCTTTCGAGGGCCTCTCGTCTTTTCTGCTTCTTTCTCTGTTTTTCTTTAGCTCTGCAGAGAAAAATTCAGTATTATCTTACTCTTAAATGCAAGATCAAAAAAGGCCTTGCAAAGCTAGGGGTCCCGAGTCAACACGCTGCCATGGGACCCCTAGCCATTTTCATTCAATACCACCTAGGCAGACAAAAAAAAAAACAAACAAAACAACAAAATTCAGAGACCCAGCTTTATTCAAAATACATTTCAGATTGTGTATTGTATGTATTTTATAGACAGGTCTGGAACAATTACTAGATTTAGCTACGTAGGTAATTCTAGCTAAGTGACTAAATCTAGTGATTGTACTGCAGGTACTGGACCTGACAGAGGGGCATGGGTTCATGATCTACTTCTAGGGCTTTATTGGCTAATCATTGACACAAATCAGGGCGTATTCGCCTTTTTAAATGGTTGTAGCGACAAACGATGACATGAATATTGACTAAATTCGTCATTTCATCAATGTATTAATTTCTTACCTAACATCTGCTTTTATGGATAACCATTTTTCTTGTCGTTGCTGTCTCCTAAGCTGTTTCTTTGAAATTGTGGCACTAGCCTGTGTTTCCCCTTTCTCATCTTTTGTTACAGAATCCATGTCTGGGTTCCTGGACATCCACACCAAGGACTATTTCAAGAATACTTCAATTTCTGACTCGCACTGACTAATTTCATGGAGGCTGACATATTGAATCTCGATCTCGCACGATGCGAGAGTTTAGTGTGAATTCGTCTGCTACAAAAATGAGTGTGACTAAAATGGGTAGCGAAACCCGGGCCGGGCCGGGATTTTCAATAACGAAAACCGGGTTTTTGATAATCACGAAATAAATACTCATTCTTTCTTCATGAAATTTACGGACATAGATTATTATTCTAGGATTGGCCTTCGCTGAAAGTTTTAGGTCAAAATGTTGTGTTTTTCAATGATTATCACCGATTGTCCTTTTCCAGGTGACTAAAATGGGTAGCGAGCCCGGATTACTCATTTTGGCGATTTAAACTTAATTTCGGCAGCATATTTACAATTATTTCATTTGGATCTTTGAAATTAAATTTAAACTACCTAAAACATTTAACTGTTGCAGTAATAAATCGCGATTATTGAAAATATACGCATTTTTTGAACACCCGGGATTGGTGGAAAGCGGACACGTTCAACCGGGAAAAACCTTTTATTTCCGAAATACTTATCAGAGAATGACAAATAATTGAAACATAAATGACTCTTTTTTGATTTGCATATTTCTATTACTTTTTTCCAATTTATTTCTTAGATGAATCTCGGTCAGGGACTGAAAAAAATCTACATTCTTTCTCTGGCAATCCGGAATTATTAATTCGTCCCGGGCAAACGCGTCCGGTTTTGACCTTTCCCGGGCCTATGAAAAACGACAAAAACCCTAATAATCGACATTTAATTTCATAATGATTGAACAATTTATCTATTTGAAGTTAATAAACAACCATTAAATGCAAATATCACAAACACTTTCGATGCATTAAATTTAAAATCGCCAAAATGAGTAAACCGGGCTCGCTATAAATGAGTAAACGAAAAACACAACATTTTGATCGGTTATATCTAATTATGAAAGAATGAGTATTTATCTCGTTAATCAAAAACCCGGTTTTCGTATTTTTTCCCCACACTAAAAAATGTAGAAGCGTAAGTCATAATATATCCGTTAAGAATAAGAAATTAATTGAATATTATCCACTATAATTTTTTAATCAAAGTTCAAAATAATAAAGAGAAAATCAGAAGAAATAACAAATCATGTACATGTATTAAGGGTACCACGGACATTTTTTTGTGAAATATACATGCGCGGATCTACAGTGGGTGGGAAGGGGTGGGGTTGAGGAAGGGCGGGTGGAATTTGCAGAGTCATTAACTTTGATTCTAAACCAAGTAAAAAAAAGTTACTAATTACCTTCGACCAGCCCCCTAAAAACATAGACCTCCCCTCGAAAACAGGGATCTGCGTTTAGGAGTCAACGAACAACCCCCCAACTTCCCATAACCACCCCACCCCGCCCCGAAATATGTTTTTCATATTTTGAAGATTTAACGGTTTTTTTTATAGGTCTCGTTGTTGCAACTTATCGAAAATACAAGAAATATACTAGTATCTTCACTCACGCTTTAGCGTCATTTTACTTCAATATGATTTCACGCGATTTTATTTTTAGATTAACATTAAATATATTGCATTCTAGGCATTGAAAAAAAAAATGAAAAAGGATGGAGAGGGGGTATAAAAGATAAGCCCTAATTGCAAATGCCTATATTTAAATTATGTATATTTTTTGTAAATAAAATTGGGGGGTGGTGGTGTTAAAACCGCAATCTTACAAGGTAGGTGACTTCACACCATTGCACATTTATATGATTACTAGTATCTAGGAGGGTGACTTCACGCCATTGCACATTTAAATATGATTATCTAGGAGAGTGACTTCACGACATTGCACATTTATATGATTATCTAGAAGGGTGATTCCACGCTATTGAACGTTTATATGATTATCTAGGAGGGAGGAGGGACTTCACGCCATTGCACATTTATATGATTATCAAGCAAGGTGACTTCACGCCATTGCACGTTTATATGATTATCTAGCAAGGTGACTTCACGCCATTGCATGTTTATATGATTATCTAGGAGGGTGACTTCACGACATTGCACGTTTATATGATTATCTAGGAGGGTGACTTCACGCCATTGCACGTTTATATGATTATCTAGGAGGGTGACTTCACGACATTGCATGTTTATATGATTATCTAGGAGGGTGACTTCACGCCATTGCATGTTTATATGATTATCTAGGAGGGTGACTTCACGCCATTGCACGTTTATATGATTATCTAGGAGGGTGACTTCACGCCATTGCATGTTTATATGATTATCTAGCAAGGTGACTTCACGACATTGCACGTTTATATGATTATCTAGGAGGGTGACTTCACGCCATTGCATGTTTATATGATTATCTAGCAATGTGACTTCACGCCATTGCACGTTTATATGATTATCTAGGAGGGTGACTTCACACCATTGCATGTTTATATGATTATCTAGGAGGGTGACTTCACGCCATTGCATGTTTATATGATTATCTAGCAAGGTGACTTAACGCCATTGCATGTTTATATGATTATCTAGGAGGGTGACTTCACGCCATTGCATGTTTATATGATTATCTAGGAGGGTGACTTCACGCCATTGCACGTTTATATGATTATCTAGGAGGGGGACTTCACGCCATTGCATGTTTATATGATTATCTAGCAAGGTGACTTAACGCCATTGCATGTTTATATGATTAATTAGCATGGCAACATCATGCCATTGCACATTTATATGATTATCAAGCAGGGTGACTTCACGACATTGAACATTTATATGATTATCAAGCAAGGTGACTTCACGCCATTGCACATTTATATGATTATCTAGCAAGGTGACTTCACGACATTGCACGTTTATATGATTATCTAGGAGGGTGACTTCACGACATTGCATGTTTATATGATTATCTAGGAGGGTGACTTCACGCCATTGCATGTTTATATGATTATCTAGGAGGGTGACTTCACGACATTGCACATTTATATGATTATCTAGGAGGGTGACTTCACGCCATTGCACATTTATATGATTATCTAGGAGGGTGACTTCAAGCCATTGCACATTTATATGTTTATCAAGCAAGGTGACTTCACGCCATTGCACGGTTATATAATTATCTAGAAGGGTGACTTCACGCCATTGCACATTTATATGATTATTAGTATCTAGGATGGTTACTTCACGCCATTGCACATTTATATGATTATCTAGGAAGGTGACTTCACGCCATTGCACATTTAAATATGATTATCTAGGGGAGTGACTTCACGACATTGCACATTTATATGATTATCAAGCAAGGTGACTTCACGACATTGCACGTTTATATGATTATCTAGGAGGGTGACTTCACGACATTGCACGTTTATATGATTAACTAGCAAGGTGACTTCACGCCATTGCATGTTTATATGAGTATCAAGCAAGGTGACTTCACGACATTGCACATTTATATGATTATCTAGGAGGATGACTTCACGCCATTGCACGTTTATATGATTATCTAGCAAGGTGACTTCACGCCATTGCACGTTTATATAATTATCTAGAAGGGTGATTTCACGCCATTGCACATTTATGTGATTACTAATATTTAAGAGGGTGACTAGACGCTATTGAACGTTTTTATGATTATCTAGGAGGGTGACTTCACGACATTGCACGTTTATATGATTAACTAGCAAGGTGACTTCACGACATTGCATGTTTATATGAGTATCAAGCAAGGTGACTTCACGACATTGCACATTTATATGATTATCTAGGAAGGTGACTTCACGCCATTGCACGTTTATATGATTATCTAGGAGGGTGACTTCACGCCATTGCATGTACATATGCTTATCTAGGAGGGTGACTTTACGCCATTGCACGTTTTTTTTTGATTATCTAGGAGGGTGACTTCACGACTTTGCACCTTTATATGATTATCTAGGAGGGTGATGTCAAGTTTAAAACATTTTAATTAATCGAAACTTTACATTGCCTGGATAATAAGTAACTGAAAGACATGCAATCCTCCATCGTGTTCATGTTCTTTTTCACCCTATAACTATAGTTCCACTGGTTACTTACTTACAGGTGAAGTAAGTATAGGGCTGGGCAAATATATCAATATTTCGGTATATTACAATACAAGGACAAAAAATATCGTATTGCAATATATTATCGATATACCGGTGTAACGACGAAAAGTGACCCCCGTAGAATATTGACCGAGGGTCATTTTTCTACGTAGAAATTTGACCTTCTGGTCAATATTCTTCACGTAGCAAAATGCACTTTTATATGAAATTATGGTCTTGGGGTCGTTTTTCTCCGTGTGCATTGTAGAAAAATGACCCCGTAGAATAATGACCCCTTGTCATTTTTTTATGCAAAAACATTCGTTTTGGTTGGAATATTCAGGTTAGGTGAATGTATACGGGTAATATCAAGCTTCCTTATGCTTTGAAGTGTTACTTCTGAAAGCTTTTAAGCTTAGATAACGAAATCAATGCTATACAATACCTTACATTAATAATACAAACTGTTTACCCCCATTAAGGAAAACAATATTAAAATGTTCTAACTAAAGGCTATTAGAGCAAAGATACGCGCATTTATAGAAACGTTTATTACATTTTATACAGTAATAGTTGTCATTTTAATCTTTAAAAAGGGTTATTTTCTAGCTGGTGTTAGAAAATATTTTCAGAATTAATTAATTATGAATCTCTTTGATTTTACTCTGAATAAATATTTTACAAAAATCAAAATGAAGTTTTATTTTTCAAAAGTTTAACGTTTTTGACCCCTTCTTTAAAATTGGCGCTAAAAAGGGCACTAGCTTAGAAAATGTCTTTTGTCGTTTGCTAGTGTCAACAAAACCTTAACAAAATGTGGGTTGTAGCATAAAACATGTTTGGCACATGTAGTATGTTTTCTCCGTTCTACATGTACTTTCATATAATTATTTTAAGATTTTTTAACCAGTAAAAAAAAAACAAATGTTGGATGATGAAAAAGTTGTTACTTTAATGTTATACTTATGCCCCCGTAAACGACG